GCCATAGGTCAGATGTTGAATGATCCAAATTCTCTCATTAGGGCGTTTCCTGGGTTTTCATGAGTGAACTTAATTTCCTTCATTTTTTCTCGAATTTCGCTCCTTCATTATTTCCATTTTTTTGATTTCATCACTGCTTAGGCTAGGGACCAAGGTGCACCTATCTATTGGCAACTCCCCTTCTAGAGAAAAAAAAATGGAGCAAGTAATTAGATTCAAAGAGAAAATAAAAGGTTTCCTAGCATTCATCTAACTTAACACTTTCAGATTCTGCTGTCCGATCCAAAATTTGCCTTACGCCTTTTCATGGGCGCTAATGTCCCATACGTCTATCGTCTTGTGGGGCCAAATAAATGGGATGGAGCAGAGGAAGCGATACGTTCAGTACCGTATCGAGTAAAGAAACCGTTGAAATCACGAGAATGCCGAATACGTAGACACAAACGTCGTGGACTTACCGTGAGTGTACTCCTTTCTGCTTGAAAGTTTCATATTAATTTGTTCACTATTAGACTCAAGCCAAGGCCTGCGTTGCTTAATCTTTGATAGGTAACGAATTGAGAGCAAGTGCTATGAATTTTCACGCCTGCTCTTAGAAAATGCGTGCTGCAAAGTATCGATACATCCTGGGTAAACTTGGGGGGTCTAGTCCCCATCATGGAAGGCCAAACGAGTGAGCTGAAAGATTTAGTATGAGCAAGGGTGTCACATCCTTCCGCTCCACCCTAGGGTTCATCCGTCGCAGTCGCAGGGACTTGGGCGATGTCATCACATCCTTCTTCGCACAGGCTCACGTCCTTCTAGCTCCACATAGCACCCCTACACCTTCTCCTTCGGAATTCTTCAACCAAAAGGCTCTATCGTTCATCGTTACCTATTGCGGTCATATTGTGGTGACTTTTCAGGGTGTTGATGCCTTTTTAGGTAAAGTAAAGTAAGTTTCAGGACGAATATATCCGTTATGCCAGCATGAAGTGGATGGCTGGTTGGACAATCTTCATCTTCATGGCTGGTCTCGTCTATTTCTGTTCCGGTAGTGCCGGCATGTCTCCATTAGCCTACTGTTTCTATGTTTTCATATTTTTCAACTTGTTTGCAATCATGTTACTATGGTTTGACTTACAGTATGACATGACTACTATTTTATAAAGGTTTTATTGTCATGTTTATGTTGTTATTAATGTTGTTCAGCCCAAATTCATTGCTCAATCCATTTTCTGAAGCTCAACCTTTTATTAAGACCCCAACTATACTCAAACTGTGATATTTATCAGTGGACTCCATTCAACCAAGTTCGCTCTGTTAATTCGGGCTTATTATTTATTTATCCACCTATTTGTTTTATTATTTACTTTTTTGTATATATTTACTTATTTATCCCAGTGTACTGTGCACTAGTAACACATACAAGAATTATTTAACTCAGTGATGTATTCGCCACAATAAAAGGAACATGTTGTCCAGTACTGAGCAATTCAGCTCGTCCTGGTGGTGCACCATGCACTAGACTTCCGCTCGAAATCGTAGCGATAATGTATGGTTAGCACACCGTCGGGAAATCCGACTTCATCGGAGCGACAAAGGATGGTAAAAGAGGGTTGGGCAGAAAAGGATGGCTAAAAACCCGAGTTCTCAGATGTGCAGTAGCTCTGAACTACTTGACCTTTACCCAGTTACTACTCAGCCTCCTTTGGAATCATTCCCGTAACTAGTTGGGTACTTTCTCTGTACTCAACAATTATCTGTAGGTGAAGGACCTTGTTCAGTACTGCCCACGATAATGCGATTACCCTGTCAATGTGGGTAATAGTTACGGTAGAGTGCAGTTACCACCTTGCCCTTACATAACTCGATAAATGGTATTTGATCGAAGTAGTCAGAGCGTCCTGATGACTTTTCATCAATTTTTCCTTGTATCTTCCGCAGATAATAATTCATGGGTGAGAAGAATTAATAAATCCTGTAGCCCTCAGTTTTCATGATTGAACAACACTATTTGTGGTATGCGCCCTTCAATTCATAATCACAGTAACGTTTGAAGGCATGTACGGCATATACCGACGGTGACGGTGGCTAGTCTATGTACAAGTCAGTGCTTTCATCCTCCCAGTCAAACCTGTCACCAATTGTCGAGCCCGGAAATATGAGAGATTCTTGGAGTTAATAACTGATAATGACCTGGGCAAGTATCGATTTGGAGTTCTAACCTGGACCATACCTATGTGATAGTCCCCTTATGCCACTTCATCACCTCCACTCAGTAATAAAAATAATAATAAAAACTGGACAGTACCTGACCAGCCTTTCCAGTACCAAAAACAACCACTGGTGAGGAAATTTTTCGAACTGTTGGCTGTGCCCACCCCTTGAAATCGTATTGAAGGTGAAGTTTTCATTCTTTGAAGGGTGTCGTGCAGTTAAAGTGTAAACTTTGACTACTCTGCCTACTCAGTTCGTAATAAAGTAAAAAGTCTCACGTCTAACTTTGAACTTGTCACTTCCTTGACGACCTTGGACGTAATGAACGCCGCTACGCGACTGTCCGAGCTAGGGAATAAATAAAAAGGTTTTTTTAAAGTTCTACACCGAATCCTTCCACAGAAATTACTGCCAGATTGATCATTATCTAAAATTACCCTGCTTGGCTTTAGGGATAGAGGAAAGGAGGGGTAAGGGATAGGCACGGTTAGGGGGAGGCGATTGGGTGGAAAGGAGAAAGGAAAAAGAGAAATAAAGCCCATGTTTCTCCTTGACAAATCTATTTTCGTGTGGTGGATCGGCAAATGGGGTACTATCGCACACGCAGGCTCACGGATTCGATTCCTGCAAGGATATCCGCCTGGGCCAACCAAGCCTTCCATTCCTCCGAGTTCGATTGATTGGTACCAGGCTTGTCTGGTTTATCGGCCATGTACGCATACAATACGCCACTACGATTCTGAACGGAAGTCGAATTCGGGACGCATCCCACAAACGGGATTGAGCAATGTCAAAAGGCTCTATTCTTAAATATTTGTAAAAGCTGTTACACACCTTACGGAAGGTTTTGTGATGACCTTAAGTGCTTGTTAAGTGTGATGTAGATGTTAGAATTGAAACCAGTCATGGGATGTCAATTAAAGTGATCGTTTTTTGGATGCCTCCAACGGAATCGCGGGCGTCTTGGGAACTGGTCTCTTATCAAGGATCGAATTAGTATAATAAATTGTATCTTAAGTGAATGGATGAGTAAAAACTAACTGAATACGTGAATTTGTTCGATCTCCTCTGATATTCACCATTATTGCTTCATAAAAAACCAAATAAGACGAATGGCGGAAGAAGGAAGGTAGGACAGGAATAGATTAGGTAACAGGTAACTGGTAGTACTGTACTTACTGGTTAGAAATCACAAACGAGTTTATTAGTATATGTTGTACTATCAAGGTGCCTTTACTTATTTGTGCCCTCCCCATTGCCAGAATGCCGTCGTCTCCGGTCAATTCCTTCTCGACGTCTAGGAGCATCTTACTTACAGTACAATATAAATGCGGTAGTTCGTGGCCATGCCTTGCATGGGAGGAAGTCTTCTTTCTTGGCAAGTCCTACATACATATGACAGTTCCTTTTGCACTGTCGACCACCGATATCGGCTCCACTCTACTCTGGACCTGAAAAAATCAATTCACTCTGCCCTGGACATAAAAAAGAAGGATCAACTCCAGACACTGTCAGTGGTGAATAGAATTTCCTGATGATATAAATGGGAGTGGAGACAACGCCATTGCAACACGTCTACTTTTTTGTCGTTGTGTGACATTCTATCCATCTAGAGGTAGGCGAATGTACGCCCAGTGCCCCTGTCTATAAGTGTAACCGTAGCCCTTCTGAGCTATGTCGATATTGACCGCCATTGAAGGTTATACTGTGTATTCATCCAAATGTTGCTTGCTACCAATCGACCTTTTTCTTTCTTATCGATATTTCGACCACAGTTTTCAATATTCTTTGATCAAGGTAGTTCTCTGTATGTCAATCTAATGACCAATTCAGAGCTTCAAGAACCCCATGCCCCCACCATGCAGCGAGTACCGCAAGTCAAGTGGGATGTCAGAACTCAAAAATCCTTGATTTGTTCATTTCTTGTATTTCGTTTTCATCTTTCTCAGTGCTAAAGTCAAAAAAAGGTGGGAGCGGTGCAGCGCCAGAGGCACACTATCGTATGCATGGTCCGCTGATTGAATTTTGGACCTATACTCGTCTAGGCCAACCAAATCTTCCACCCTGTGGGGTCGAATAATTCCTACTATACTCGTCTTGGAGGAAAGAGTTCTGACTGTCAGAATTGTCCGACCCCGCAGGGGTAGAAGGCTTGGTTGGCCTGACGAGTACAGGTTTAGGATTCGATCAGCGGACCACGCATATGTGCATGGGCTGGCCAATGCAGGGCACTGTGTAGGTCTCATACACAAAGCCATTACGGTTCTAAGTTCCAGTCGAGTACGGAGTGCGCATTTGAGTGGGTGGTTTTCTTTAGAAACAGACCCTGGTAAGGAGCATTTGGTAGGTGAAATCACAGCAAGCGAACGAGTTCCGTCAGCTTGACAATTGGAGCGAGTCTCTTTGTTTTTTCAGAACATTTCACCTCCTCCTGACCTCGAACTTCCCAGACTTCTGCCCATTTAAGGGTGTTCCGTCAACGTCCTTACAGTAACCAATGACTCTACGATCTGATTATATTGTTTCTGTACGCTACGCCATCTTGAAGTATAAATCGCACTTGACCTCAAATGGCTCCTTACCTCTGGCCTTCTCGGAGGATGAGGGCACTGTGAG